AGTAGGTGTGTGTTTAACTTTATAAAAACAAACTAACAAACAAAAACTAATAGTTTTCCAAAGTTGTTGAACCATTTACACTCCTGCTAGCAATATATCAGAGTTCGAGTTGCTTCAAATTTTTACCAGTAATTGGTGGTGTCTTTTTTTTGGGGGGGTGGGGGTAAATGTCAGCCTTTCCAGGGAGTGTTTAGCGGTATCTCATTGTAATTTCAATATGCATCTCCTTAATTACTAACAATGTTCAACTTTTTTCATGTGCTTATTGGACATTCGTATAGTTTCCTTTGTGAAGTGTCGATTCAAGTTTTTTCCTATGTTTTTTTAGGTTGAATTATCTTTTTATTATTGACTTGTATTTTGGATACAAGTCCTTTGTTAGATTTATGTACTGAAAATATTTTCTCCCAGCCTGTGGCTTGACTTCATTTTTTTAATGGTGACTTTGATGAACAGAAGTTTTTAATTTTATTGAAATATAATTTATCGATATTTTCTTTTATGGTTATTGCTTTCTGTGCCCTATCTAAGAACTCTGCCTACCCCCAGGTGGCAAAGATAACACTGTATGATTCCTTCTAGAAGTTTTGTAGTTTCAGCTCTTATACTTAGGGTGATGATCTGCCTCATATTAGCTTTTATGTATGGTGTGAAGTAGGGGACAAGGTTCATTTGTTTTTTATGGTGGTGAATATATAGATAACAAAACATTCGCAGTTAAGTTTCTTTTTTAAACTCAACTTTGTTGCAGTATAATTTATATACAATAAAATGCATCAATTTTAAGAGTACAGTTCAATTTGCAAAATGAATACACCCATGTAATCACCACCACAATCTAGATATAGTACATTTCCATCGCCTCAGAAACTACTCTGCTGCACCTTCCTAGCCAGTAGCTTTCCCCAGCCACAGCCCTGCGCAAGCGGGGCTCTGCTTCCTGTTGCTATAGATGAGCTATACCTTTTCTAGAGCTTCATGTAAGTGAAATTTTACATGGTGTATTCTTTTGTAACAGGTTTCTTTTGCTCAGCATAGTTACCTTAAGGTTTATACATGTTTTTGCATATATGAACATTCACATATAGATACGTATTTGTGGGAACAGACGTTTCTGTTTCTCTTGGGTAAATACCTAGGAGTTTGACTGTTGCATTGTTCAGCAACTTTATATTTAACTCTGTGTAAAACTGCCAAACTGCTTTCCAGAGTAGTTGTAACATACTGCATTCCCTCAGCAATGTATCAAAGTTCCATTTGCTCCACATCCTTGACAGCCGTCAGTTGTTTCTCCCTTTTTGGTTTTAACCATTTGAGTGGGTGTAGAGTGGCGTCTCATTGTGGCTTTCATTTTTGTTTCTCTGATAAATAATGATCGTGCACACCTTTTTCACATGCCTCTTGGCCATTCATGTATCTTCCTTGATGAAGTATCTGTTTTCTGTTTTTATTGAGGGATTTGTCTTCTTATCATTGTGTTGTAAGAGCTCATTACGTATTCTCAACGTAAGGCCTTTGTCTGGTATGTAAGAGCTCATTACATATTCTGAATGCAAGGCCTTTGTCTGATATGTATATTGTACATGTTTCCACTAGTCTGTGGCTGCCTTTTTATTTTCTTCGTGGTGTCTTTCAATGCACAGAAGATTTTCATTTTAATGAAGTATAATTTATCAAAATTCCTCCTATGATTCATACTTCTGTTTCCTTCCTAAGAAACCTTTGGACACCCTAAGGCTGCAAAGATTTTTTCATATGTTTTATTCTAGAATTTTATAGGTTTAACTCTTAAGTTCGAATCCATAATTCATTTCAATTTAATTTTTATATATGGTGTGATTTGAAGCATTTTTTCCCCTGTGTATATACCCAGTGATTCCAGTACCATATATAGAAAAGACTGTTCTTTTCCCAATGGATCAGCTCGACATCTTGGTCAAAAATCAATTAGCCATCTGTATATTTAGGTCTAGTTCTAGACTCTTTATTCAGTTTCATGGATCTGTATATCTATATATCTTTATCAGATGTTTTGGCTATTGTGAGTCCTTTGCATGTACCTACGCATTTTAAAATCAGTTTGTCAAATTTTAACAAAAAAGACGGTATGAGCCCGCTTATATGAAATATCTAGAATAGGTAGATACATAGAGACCAAAGTTTATTAGCGGCTATCAGGGATGGAAAGGAGGGAAAGACTCACCGCTTAGAGAGCACTGAGCTTCTGTTAAGGGTGATGGAAAGATCTGGAAACCGACAGAGGTGATGGTTGTCCAACATGATGAATGTAGTTAACGTCACTAAATAGTACATGTAAAATAAGGCTGAAATAGCAAACATTTTGTTAGCTATATATTTAACACAATTAAAAAAAAGACTGGTAGGGTTTTGGTTGGGATTTCATTGAATACATGGATCATTTTATAAACAATTGGCATCTTAACAATATTGAGTCTTCATGTGTGTCTCTCCACTTAAATTCTTTAATTTCTCTTAGGTAACGCTTTGTAGTTTTCAGTGTACAAGTCTTGACATATTTGGGTAAATCTATCCATAAGTGGTTAACATTTTTATGCTATTATGAGTATCACTCTTAAATATCAATTTCCAGATTTTATTATTAGTATATAGAAATGCAGTTAACTTTTGTATATTGACCTTATATCCTGCAACTTTGATAAACTGACATTATTTCTAATAGCTTTTTTTTATAAAAAAAAATTATGAATGTGTATTGAATTTCCTGAAATAAGTTTCCTGCATCTGTTGAGATGATCATATGGGTTTTTATTTATTTTGAATGTTAAATCACCTTTGCATTTCTTGGATCATCTCTACTTGGTTGTAGTATATTATCCTTTTACATGTATCTGGCTCCTTGAGTGTCCTTTTTGGTGAAGTGTCTGTTCATGTCTGTTTTAGTTCTTTAGTGCTGCTATAACAGAAATACTACAGTAGATGCCCTTAACAAACAGAAATTTATTCTCTCACAGTTTAGGTGGCTAGAAGTCCCAATTCAGGGCCCCAGCTCTAGGGGAAGGCTTTCTCTGTTGGCTGTGGGGGAAAGTCTTTGTCTCCTTTCAGCACCTGTGGGCCCAGCATTCCTTAGAGGTCTCTGTGTGTCTTGGCATGACAGGTTACAATTCAGGATCAGAAACCACTCAGGATACAGTTCTTGGGTCAGGACAGCTTCTCAGCCATGCCTGCAGGCAGGCGTCTCCCTGTCTCTCTCTCTCAGCCCTCAGCCCTCGGCCCTTTGGCCCCTCAGCCAGGCCAGGCCTCTGTTCAGGGAGGCGTTACAAAGTTCTTTAGCTCTGCTGACGAGTGCCTGGAGGCATCCCACTCTGCCAGCAAGCCTCCTGCCTGAAGGCACTCAGCTCTCTCACTCTGTGGGTTGGCACACCCACTGTGCCATCTCTTGCTGATCTCCTGGTTCAGCTGCTGCTGCTTCTCTGCCACCACTTCTTGCCATCTTACACTGTCTCTGGTGTTATAGCTCTCTGTCTCCTGGGTCTAGGAAGTTCTCAGTGCAGGGACCCCAGGTCCAGAGGACATGTTCCACACCCAGCTCTTCGTTTTTGGTAGTGGTGAGGTCCCCTCCTCTCTGCTCGCTGCTCTCTCCTTTTATCCCTTGTAAGACAAAAGGTGTGATGCAAGCAAGGGTGTGACTCGAGTGAGGGTGGTGCTGTGACCTTACTGAAGGCCGTGACTCGGTACAACATACACTAATTCTGCCTCATTACAGACAGAGGTTTAGGATTCGCTTTATTTTTATGTTCTGTTTTTGGTCCATAGAGATGTTTACCTGTTTGTGTGTATGTGTATGTGTGTCTTTGTCTACTTGTGTGTGAATGTGTGTGTGTAACTCTGTATGTTCAAAGTGGAGAAGTATTCTTAAATCATGACCTTATAATGTCAAATTCACAGGAATTCTCACAAAGACTTTAGGGTGAGACTCTAAGTCTCTAAGATGAGACTTGGCACATCCTTCTTGGATATTCTTGGAGGTTATAAGACCAAATTTATTTTGCATTTTGATGTAGCAATATATTTTCATATTTTCCTTTTATACCTTTTGGAGCCTGGTGGCACAGTGGTTAAGAGTACGGCTGCTAACCAAAAGGTCAACAGTTCAAATCCACCAGCCGCTCCTTGGAAACCCTATGGGACAGTTCTACTCTGCCGTATAGGGTCGCTCTGAGTCGGAATCAACTCGATGGCAACAGGTTTTTGGTTTATGCCTTTTGATCTCTTATTTTGCTAAGGAAACCCGTCTGTACTTCAAAGGGTAAAAAATTATTTTCCAAAATTTGTTTCTAACATTTCTTCATTTATTTTTATAATATTGAAATATCAGATGATAATGGATTTTGTTTTTATTGTATTCTGGCACTGTATTATTGGGGGGGGGATGGCTAATTATACCATTTATTAAATAATTTATTATTTAGCTATTGAATTGAAAGGACACATTTTTAAAATATATTAGATACTCATGTGTTTCATGTCTCTTGTATCTTCCTCTGATTTATCTGTCAAAGTTTATACCAAAATCATGCTGTTTTGATTAGATAACTTTTCAGTAAGTTTCAATATATGTTTCCTGTAGTAGTTTTCCCAGAATGAGTTCACAGTAAGTCTTTCCACGAGCAGTTTTGAGAAGTAAAAAGAAGAAGGTTCTAATGTCACAGACTAGTCTCATGACAAACAAAAATCCACACAGCATTTAGACTTTGTCCTCACAAGTGAGGTGCCCAGGCGGAATGTTGACTCTGTTTTGGGCTTCTCTGTGTCAGGCCTGTGAACTCCATCAGAAAACCGTGAAGTCTACCAGCCTAGAAGTTCAGAGTGTGGAAATTGATGTGTTCTCTGAAGGTGATGAGCGTGCGACAGCATACAATCCCCGAAAGGTAACTCTCCCGGGGTGTCGCCTGCAGGTTGATCCGCACGCCTTCTCCGGGATAGCCGTTACGGAGGAATGCCAGGATCGATGTGAAGAAAACTGCTGCGAGTGGGTTTTAAGCCAAGGGTTTAAAGGGTTTAAAGGCCAGGGTTTCTCAGCCTCGGCCCTGTCACGTGTTGGGCAAGGCAATTCCTCGTTGCAGGGGCTGCCATGGGTGTTGCGGGATGTTACGCAGCGCCCGTGTCGTATCAACGAAATGCGACTAGATCTCGCCTGCTGTGACAATGAAAAACGCCTCCGGACGGGGCCAAAATGTAGTCTAGGGTGGGAGGGAGGGGAAGGGGCAAAATCAACCCTGGCTGAGAACCACTGGTCTGGACAGATTATGCCAGGAGTTGGATAGCTGAAAATCGCAGTCCCAGGAAGGTAATCTTTTCCTCATGACCTGGCTTCCCTATTGGGTTAGGCAGCCTATCAGGGGTATGGCTTGTAGGGAAGAAAAGGTGAAGGTATTGTGTCTTCATTCGCCTTTCCTCAGCCAAGGAAGAACAGTTAGACAATTCTTTGCTGAGTCAGAGCACTTAGCAAAGGACCCAGTGGGGTCTTCTTCCAAAACCCCTTGCGCCTAGAAGCCTTTGCCTGGCTAGGTGCATCTCTAACAAGCCTGATAATGAAGAATTAGGTACTACCAAGGTGAGAGACTACCAAGGTCTTGGTGAATGACTCTGCCCCTTTCCTCTGTTCTGATGTGCAGACGTCTGACGCTACCAGCCTGCTATCGGAATGTAGCACCATCGATCCGATGTATCCCTTTAGGCAGCTACCTGAAATGGTTCCCCAAAAGCAACCAGAGAGATGTTTGCCCAAAGGTAAGTGGCAGGATTTCTGTTCTTCACTGAAGCTCTGAAGCTTTGGGAGATGCCTTCTTTCTACTTCTACTGGGGAGAAAAGCAAAGAGAGGTCACCCACAGATTCTTGGGGACCTGTATCAGTTCCAGGAAGAGGCCATTTCAGGAAATTCTTGCTTCAAGTGGGCTCAACCTACATAGTCCAACAACCAGGACAGACACTCTAGAAAAGTTTTCTACAAGTCCCACTGGGCCAACATGTCTGCTGCTTTGAATTGTCCCCAGTACATCCTCTGCCGGTATGTAGTTGAGGTCATATACCAAGAGAAGAACTTGGCCATAGCCCAGGGTTGACGGGAGCCCTTGCCAAGCCCTCAACTCGTCCCTTAAGATTCTTGTCTAGGGGGCAGGAGAGCACTGTAGTTAAGAATATCAGCTCTGGAGCTACTGTCTACGCTCACATTCTGTCTTCTCCACTTATGAGCTGTGTGACTTGTTCAGTTTACTTAACCTCTTTGCCTTATTTATAAAATGGTGATAATAATAGTACCTGCTGCAAAGCACTGTTGTGACTGTTAAATGAGAATATGAATCACTTGGAAGAGTGTCTGGCACAAAATAAGCACTCAATAAATGCAGCCTTTCCTGACTCCCTAAGCGGATGTAATGGCCCCTTCCGAACTGCATTCATTATTTCCTGTATTCATTGTGGGGGAATTTGTGTCTGTCTCCACCCCCCACCCTCCCCACCCCATGAGGCTCTCAGAGTTAGTGGCTTATTCAGGATTGTATATCTAGCACGAGCCCCTGGGTGTACAAGTGGTTAAATGCTCAACTTCTAGCCAAAAGGCTGGCTTTCGAACCCACCTGGAGATGCCTTGGAAGACAGGCCTGGTGGTCTGCTTCTGAGAGGTCACAGCCTTGAAAACCCTATGGACCAGTTCCACTCTGCACACATGGGGTCACCATGAGTCGGAATCGACTTGAAATCAACTAACAATAATAACAGATTTAGTGTGAGAATAGGACCTGGCCCAGATTATGGGCTCAACAAATGTTGACAAATAAATAAATAAATGACTCAACAAATGAGTGAATACATCTAAAAATTTTAAATTTCTCCATAAGTTTGGGGCTAGACTGGGCCCAGAAAGAACACCAAGAATGGGTTTCAAGCTCATATTCTCGGTGGTTTGACAACCCCATAGCTGCCCACAGGGGACAGAGGCCAGGCTAGGGATTTCCCGTAGACTGTGGTTCTCCTGACTTACATTTGGACTGGTCCTTGAGGTATGCATAGGACGTCAGTAGTGGAGATGACAAAGATAGGTGAGGTTTCTAGGAGATGGGAAGAGTGGAATAAAAGACAGAAAAACAGTGTTTTAGGAAGAATAACCCACTGGTGTTTTGAAAGATGGAGGGAGGAAAGGGTCAGAGTGAGAAGACCTCACTATGGCCTGGGAAGAAGATGAGTAGAATGTTGTGATTACCGTGAAGTAAGGGTCAGCAGGATTTGGGGAAGGGGAGAGGGAGACAAGGTGGCAAGGGTGATGTGATTCATGCTGAAGACTTGTGTGTGTTGAGAACAAATGCTCCGCTGTTCGTAAACATCTCAACAATTGATCAGATTCTTCCATGTACGGCTTGGGTGGTTCACAAAGTCTGTACCTATCTTAGCTCATTCCATGCAGTTCTTCGGGCACTGTCTGTTTACTATTGCCCGCCACCCTCCCAAAAAAAAAAAAAAATTGTGGTGTAACAAACAACCACAAAACCTCAGTGGTGTACAATAAGAAATGTTTATTGCTCATGTGTCTGCATGATTCAGCTGATCTAGGCTGGGTATCTCTCCTGATCTTGGCAGGCTTCGTTCATACATGTGGTGTTGGCTGGGGACCAGCTGGTCTAGCCTGGGCTCAACTGGGCAGCTTGGCTCTGCTGCACATCTCTATCATCCTCCTCCTGGAGCCTGTGGGCTAGCCCAGGCATGACCTTCTCATGGAGAGGGTACAAGAGAACAAGTGGAAGCACGCACCGTCTCAAGGCCTGGGCTCAGAGCTAGCACGCTGTGACTTCCGCTCCACTCTGTCGACCAAAGCAAGTCAATGGCTGAGCCCAGATTCAAGGGGTTGGAAAAGAGACTCCACCTCGTGGGGGGGACAGCAAAGTCACATGGCAAGGGGCATGCGTACAGGGAGGGCTGAAGAGCTGGGGCTGTTAATGTGATTTACCACAGACACTAACGGTTGTACCACTCTGATTCCTCCCAGGTCTGAGTCCCTGCTTGCCACACTGTCGCGTGGACAAGAGAAGGTCCTTCTGGATCATGTGGTGGAACCTGCGGAAGACCTGCTACCAAATAGTGAAACACAGCTGGTTTGAGAGCTTTGTTATCTTTGTGATTCTGCTGAGCAGTGGGGCGCTGGTAAATGATCATGGTTTTATGCGGGCATTGGGGATCAAGGCAGCCAAGGGAGCTGCATTTGGGCCTGACCCTTCGTGGGGCTATGAACGTGGGGAGAGCAGACAAAAGTGGAATCTTTGCTGCTGGCTTCCCTCGGGGGACAGGGTTTTGCACAACAGCTTCTGGAGTCATGCTCCCACTGGGACATCCCGAAGCCAAAGACACTTTCCCTGTGGGGAGGAGCTCCTGGAGTCTGGCCCTTGGGCCCAGGCCTGTCCACCTACCCCTCACTCTTGGAGGATTCCTAGACATTGTCACCGCATCCTACATGTTTCTTCCTCTAGATCAACAAAATTCCTTCCCTCCCTTTTCCTGAAGACCATAGTGCTGCTTTCTAAAAGGTAAAATGCTAAGGGACAGGGCTACCTGGACCAGATTAGAGTATACTAAGTTGTCTTGGTAGTTGCCATCACTCATGTTTCCTTGAGAAAAGGAACAAGGAGATACCGTTTTCTGGGTATGACAGAGCCTTCCAGTTAGAGGTGAGATCAGTGGGATTGGGAAGTAACTTTGAATGTATCAGTCTCCATAGGCATGTAGTTGCAACCCCCTTTCTGCTCTGCTCTCTCCTCACCTTTGGTCCTTCTCTACCCCTCCCCCTTCTCCCTTGAGGGACCCTATCTTCTCCCTATACATCTACACACATCTCTCTCTCTCACCCTCCCCTTCTATCTTGTGTCTGTCCTTCAAATAACATAAAACTAAACTGTCTAACTCTTTGTCATATCAAGTGAATGGCATTCTGGGTTCTCCCTTATTGATTCAGAGTGACAGACCCCTTCACAATAAGTAGCTAGCAAATGGAAGGGACAAGGAAATGCTTTGCGCCCACACACCCCGCCTTCCTGGCTAGTGCTTCACACCTGTGTAACCTGTAGGTGAAAGAAGATGAGCACATGCTGGGGCCCACCTGGGTCTGTGGTCAACCTGCATCCCCACTGATCCACTCAATGGAACACAAAGTATTCCTCAAACAAAACAGCAAATCTCTAAAACCAGCCCAAGGAACTCCCTTGGTTAATTTTTATTGCTAACCCTTGGTCTAGGGTTATGTGTAGCCTTCTGGTGATGACGTTTTCACTGGCTGTCTACTCTTACTCAAGTGGTAGAATTTCTCTCATTTGTTTCACAAATGGTAATCGGTGTCTCCCAAGCCCTGTGCTAGCAAGTGGGAAAACAGTGATGTGGTTATTGGACCCAGGCACATGCCCCATGGTGCCATGGAATGAAAACTTGAAATCAGAGAAGTAGCAGAGGGCACACAGTCCTCCTCATTCTCATCTTCCCTCAGAGAGGCCAGTGTAGGCTGGGCAGAGTGGGACTGAAAACAATGCAGAGGGTTCCAGAAGGACCCAGTCCCTGTTTCGTTATGCTGTTTACAGAGAAATGGGGACAAAAAATATTGAGTGTTCTGGCCACTGTCTGATTCTGTATAGCTCAGCAGCATCAACATCACCTGGAAGCTTGTTAGAAATGCAGAGTCTTGGGTCCATCCCAGACCTTCTGAATTAGAATCTGCCTAGTAACAAGCTCCCTAGGTGATTCAGAGCTCATTAGGGTTTGGGAAATCCTGGTCTAGGCAACTATGTAATAATGGGAGCTCCTTTGAGTAGGAAATGGACTAGATTTAATGTACAAGCCTCCCAAGCTCAATTGCTGATATCAGTCTGTTCTCCTGTTGTACTAACTCAGATCTGCTGAGCCAGCTTGTTGCTAAGTTTCAAAAAGGAGGGAGGAAATGAGCTTCCAGCGCCATTCAGATTTGTCTCTTCCCAAAAGACAGACAGACAAACCCCTGACCTCCAGGAGCTTGGAGTCTTGTAGGGAAGACAGATGAAGTCCAGGCAATTATAGACCAGGGTCATAACTGATACACTCAGAGCAGCAGAGGGTGGCATGGGCGGATGTAGGAAGGGGACCTAGCCCAGTGTTGGTGGAACAAGGACAGTTTCATATAGAAAATATCAGCCAAGCTGAGATCTGAAGGCTGACAAGGAGCTGGCAGAGGAGGAGGTCAGAAACCCACTTTGGAACTGGAAGCAAGACTGTTGAACTCTTTTGCATTCTTTTTTACCAGGGCCCATGGAGTGCTTATACCCTAATTATATAGACCCTGCAGAGTCACACAAACATTTTAGGGGAGGGAAGTGTTTGGATGTAGCATGAAAAGGTTTGCTCTGAGAGCCAGGATACCTCGTTTTTGTAATCACACTTAATAAATGTTTAACACTCTAAGGAATGTACACTGGAAACTCTAGCCCAGAGCTTCCAAACTCTCTTGCATGTCATGGTGCACATACAAAGTGATTGTGTTTGCTGGGACCACTGGTGTAAATGAATGAGGCTGCTTGTGGTGGAAGGTGACGGGCCTCGGGGTTAGCAGGATCTAGAGTGTGGGCTAGAGAGTCTGGACTTGATATTGTAGGCAGTGGAGGACCACTGAATAGAGCCTCTCACATACATAGGAGGACGAAAGAGATGGCGTATACCACTGGTGGTTCTGGCACAATAATGTTGGCAAGAGCTGAAAGGATTAGTGTCCAATGTGGTGAGACTGGAGGCAGGACGACCCGTTAAGAGGGTGCCTCTGTATTCCAGGGGAGAAGTGATGAAAACCTGGGGAACTATAGTGATGCAGAAGTCCAGAAATAGACCTTTCCTTTCCCGTTTTCACTCACCCGAGGAATCAATCCCTTTGGGAAAGGTCAGCCTTAACACCTTTCGAGCAAAACCTTATTTACCAAGAGAGATATTAATTGGTTCATATAAGGAAGACAAATAAAAAGCAAAGTTAGCAAGAAGGGCTATGCAAATACTCAACCTGGCCTAAGGGCTATGCTTTATCATTTCAGGTATTTGAAGATATACATCTTGAGGAACAGCCCAACATTAAAAAATTACTTAATTGTACTGACAGTATTTTCACGTACATTTTTATCCTGGAGATGGGTCTGAAATGGGTGGCCTTTGGATTTAGCAAGTATTTCACCAGTGCCTGGTGCTGGCTGGATTTCATCATTGTGATCGTAAGTTTGCCATCTGTGTCCCATGCGGGTCGAGGGTAGGGGGGAGTGGGGCAAAGAGGGAGGGGACCATAGAGGAACTGCTTTTGCTGTGTGTCTCATATGCGTACCCCTTCAGCATATTTTTCTTGCTGTCATTGCATCTCCACAGTGCTTGTACTTGTCCTTCATCTAGCAGCTGTCCAGCCTTCCCCGGGTTCCACTCGGACACACTGCACTTCGTATGCTCACCACCCAGCCCCTTCCATGGGTGGCACTCATCCACTTCACTCCATAAGCACTACTTATGTCAGGTATACACGTAGAATACCTTTGAGTACCCTCCATTTTCCCCTCTCCTTCACCTTTCCATTTCTTTTCAAGATGTCTCAAAGCAGCTTAGGAGCCAGCAGGTTGGTCTGGTTCCCGTCTTGACTGCCAAGCAACATAAGAGGATTGTTCACACACATTCTCTCATTTGATCTGCACAACAGTGTCCCAGATAAGCAGTGTTATACAGCACCTACCACCGTACAGACAAGGAAACCTGAAGCTCAGAGGATCAGCAGCTTGCTTCAGGTCACAGAGTTGATAAGTGGTGAAGTTAGGATTCACACCTTAGTCCGGATGATGCTAAGGCTGATAATAGCAATGTTGTTTTTAGTTGCTCAGTTGCCATCGAGTCGATTCTGACTCATGGTGACCCTGTGTGTTGCAGAGTAGAACTGCTTCATAGGATTCTTAAGGCTGCGGCCTTTCAGAAGCAGATCGCCAGGCATGTCTTCCCAGGTGCCTCTTGGTGGGTTCAAACCACCAACCTTTTCGCTAGTAGTTGAGTGCTTAACTGTTCGTGCCACCCAAAATAAAAAACCAAACCCACTGCCTTCAAGTTGATTCCAACTCATAGCGACCCTATAGACAGGGTAGAACTGCCCCCTAGATTTCCGAGGAGCGGCTGGTGGATTTGAACTGCCGACCTTTTGGTTAGCAGCTAAGCTCTTAATCACTGTGCCACCGTGGACCACATTTATTGTGCTTTCTGTGTGCCAGCTGCTCTGCCGGGTGCTTCATCTGCATCGTCTGTTTCAGTTATCGCAGCTATCCTACGTGGTAGCTACTACTGCGTTTCCCATTTTCAGAGGAAGAAACTAAGTCACAGAGAAGCTAAGAAACGTGTTCAACGCTAACCAGCTAGAAGTGGTGGAGGGCGCTTAAACCTCTGAAGTCTCACTCCAGAGCCCTTGATTTTTGTAACATCTATACCCTTTCTAAGGAGTTCTGGTGGCACAGTGGTTAAAGCGCTCAGCTGCTAACCCTAAGGTCAGTGGTTCAAACCTACCAGGCGCTCCAAGGGAGGAAGATACAACAGTCTGCTTCCGTGAAGATTTACAGCCTTGGAAACCCTATGGGCAGCTCTATAGGGTCACTATGAGTCAGAATCGACTCGATGATGAGTTTTTTTTTTTTTTAAAATATCCTTTCTACCATGAGATAATTAGCTAGGTTTTGTCCCTGCTATTTAAGAAAGTAGAGGCAACAAATACATGAGCACAAGTCATGTCACTGGCAAACCCCACTGAAGAACCACATTGTTATTGGTGGACACGAATAGGCCATGTGGTCTGGAAGGCATCAGTGCCATGGGGGCGCCAATGGGAATCAAAGAAAGGAACAGAAGTAGCCACATGTTTTTCAGTCCTATCAGCTTCCAGAGTACAAATCCCTCTGTCCCCACCATCTTATTAGATTATAATGAAAAACCTGTAAGTTAGGTGAAAAGATGATTGTTACCTCCATTCTAGGGGCCTGTGGTTTACTGGAGAAAAGCCTTAGACTTAGGAGACCTAACTTGTCTACTCTCTTTCTGTCAGACATTAAGCAAAGCACTTCCCCTCTTTTGGCATTAGTTTTCACAAGCATAAACATGAAGATGTGACTATAAATTGCCCAAATACAGAATGAAAAGCATAAATCTAGCAATAACCATTAAAAATACTGAAACAGTCCATAACCATACAGTCGAAAAAAAGGGTACCAGGCCCAGATGGTTTTACAGGAAAGTTTTACCAAACTTCCAAGGAACAGTTAATCGCAATATTATCCAAAGTGTTACAAAGAATAGAAAAAGAGAAGGAGCTTGAAAACTTATTTAATAAGACAAGTATAACCTCAATTTAAAAAAAAAAAAGGAATACAGTAAGAAAAGAAAATGACTGGTCAGCCTTTTTTATGAACATAGATATGAAAATTTTAAATAAAATGTTAGAAAATTGAATCCAACAGTTTATTTAAAAATACACAATGACTAAGTTGGTTTATCCTAGGAATTCAAAGACATCCCACTCTGAAGAGTGCAGAGTAGGAAAGAATCAAAAAAAAAAAAAAAAAAAAAAAACCACTGCCATACAGTCAGTTCTGACTCACAACAACCCTATAGAGTGGGAAAGAATGTGGGTGTTTTTATGTCTGAATGTGTCATCTGTGCCTCCCAGTTTGGTGGAACAGAAACTGGGGATAAGGCTCTAGGTGAAAAGGTATACAATGTCCTTGTAGGAACAGTTCTTCCCCACCAATGACAGCAGTGATTTGGGAAAATCAGAAGAACTGCTGAGCTTTGCCACCATTTTCCCTCTGGCCAGGACCTAGGTAGAAAGAGTATTTGTGGAAAAACTGCTTAAATAACTCTCCCAACAAGTAATGATATTACAAAAATACCTATTTAAAAAACCAGGATACTATGAACACCATCAAAATATTTTGAATTGATAGTGATTTTAAAATCTTGTTATACTGTCATATTAAGTCACTTAATTAACTCTCCTAACTTGCAAATATTTTACTAGTACAATGGAGCTTGAAGAGTTAGTGCAGGATATTTTTAGATAATAATGAACTCTGATGTCAGCTTGTCAGGAGTATCACAATTCATCTCCTGTCCAGGTGAGCAAACCCCTTCCAAGTCGAGGCTCTGAAGACTCTTTATAACCAATAACAATGGCTGAAGATCTGCAAAAAGTGGTCTTTGACTAGCTCAGCATACCATTAGGTTTTACTTTAGTATACTTATAGAGCTCTCTAAACCTCAGCCCTGTCTTTCTAGGGAAAAGTATGTTGGGAGAGAAAACTGCTTTTAATTCCCCCAAAAGGAGCTATTTGAGTAAACAAACAATTTAATATTTCTTTGTAACTTTGTGATATAATTTCAAACTTACAGAAAAGTTGCAAAAAATAGTATAAAGAACCCATTATGCTCTTTTTTGCCTATTTACCAATTGTTAACATTTCACCCCATTTGCTTTGTCATTTTCTCCTTCTATTTTTCTCTGAACTACTTGAAATCAAGTTGCAGACATCAGGCTCCTTTGGCCCCAAACATTTCAGTGTGTTTTTCCTAAGAACAAGGACATTGTTTCTCATAATCACAGGAATTATCCCACTTAGGAAATTTAACATTGCATCAATATTGAAATTCACAGTCCATTTTCAAATTTTGTCAAATTGTCACAATAAGGTCCTTCATGGCTGATTTTCCCTCCCAATCAGGATTCAGTCCAGGATTCCACACTGCATTTAATTACTACGCCTCCTTGATTTCCTTTAATACAACAGTTCTTCAGCCTTTCCTTATCTTTCATTAAACAAGTAATATAAACACATCATCCTCTCCCTTATGGACTGTATCTTTGCCAGACAAGGAGACAAACGGACTCTCCAGTTGCCCTCTCCCTTCCAGCAAGGTCTGACAGGCTAGTGTATCTGGATAGTCCACATGGACATGATACGTTCTGCCTTCTCAGAATGAGGGCTCCGAATACCCCACCAGCTTCCTTGGGCATACCGTCAGGTGCACCACCTGTGGCCTCTCTTCCCGGCAGGTCTCTGTGACCAGTCTCATCAACTCCAAGCCCTTAAAGTCCTTCCGGACTCTGCGAGCACTCAGGCCCCTTCGTGCGCTGTCTCAGTTTGAAGGAATGAAGGTATGTTCTTCAGGCGGATGGGAGAAAGCTCAGCTGGCGAAGCAAAGATATTAGCTGCTCCTGGACTTGGGTTTCCTTAAATTGCCAAGATTTTCCTGGGCTCCTCCCCACCTAGCCCAGTGCTTAGAATTTGGGAGTTGTCAAGAAGTCTAAGTCTATAGTCTCCACCCGAAAAGAGTTTTGGTGACAACCAAGATGGGCGCTGGCTTCCCCTCAGAGTCCTAAGGCAGGAGTCCCATATGTCCATCATCAGAGGACACTTCTCAGGTTATCCTCAGTGGAGAACATAGGAGTCATGGAGCTGAGAGTAGGGGGGAGGGAAGGGCATGGAGAATGAAGGCATAGCTTGAAGAGATCCAGCCTCACACAGTGGACCAAGCCTGGGGAGGTCAAGGGCTTGGTGACTCCCGCACGCCTCTTGGAATCTTCTTCTTCCATTTTATTCCTAAAGGTGGTGGTCAATGCTCTCATAGGTGCCATCCCTGCCATTCTGAATGTCTTGCTTGTCTGCCTCATTTTCTGGCTCATATTTTGTATCCTGGGAGTAAGCATCTTCTCTGGAAAATTTGAAAGATGTGTTAATAAAACAGATATGAACTCAGTTATAGATCATGAAATCATTGCAAACAAAAGCCAGTGTGAGAGTGAAAATCTCTGCTGGGTCAACCTGGATGTGAACTTTGACAATGTGGGAATGGCTTACCTCGCTCTGCTGCAAGTGGTAAGTGTTGTTGGCATGTTTTTTACTCTGAGAACACTTAGAAGAATTATAAGTCATTTCTCAGCTAATAAGAGTGCAGCGACTCCATTGGGATAATGGTCATGTGAGAATCAATGCCCCCTACAATTGACCCCTACTGAACATCTCCAACCTTATTGTCTACTAAGCCTCAATCTCCAGGTGATAGCCCTTTGAAGGTCTGTACGTCTCACCTTGTCCTACACAGCACCTTGCTCTCCAGAGCTCAGCCAGACAGGGGTGGGGCCTGAAATGCCAGGTCATCCAGTAAGAAGGGCTCTCTGTTGGAAGTCCATCCCAGGTGAAACCAGAGTACCCAGGTCTTGGGCAGACAGTGCAAACAGATGTGGCATCAGAGAAGAGGGAACAAGACTTAACCAGGGGAACAAAACGGTCCACAGCATCTCTAACAATATTCTCAGATGGAAATTTATTTTGTTTTTAAACTTTGTAATCTTGTACAAATGAAGAAGAAGAAGAAAATCCAAGCCACGCCATCCTTGAGCCCCCTCCTCCTGTTCTTTTATTTGGACATTCTGTCCTGGAAGAGTGGGACATCATCTTAAGTATACCTTCCCACCAGGTCTTGCTTGCTTTGCATGGCTTGTGTCTGTTGACAGCAAGTCTACAATTATATTTGTGTTTCTTTGCTTTTGTTGCAGGCGACGTTTAAGGGCTGGACAGATATTATGTATGCAGCTGTCGATTTTAGAGGGGTGAGTCTTTGTTTCACTGTATTACAGAGAGCTAGGGTCAAATGAGGTATATCATGTCATGGATAGTCCAGGACTTCCTGCATCACAGTCCCAGTGGCCAGGGTTTCTCTTCCTTACTTTCCTTGGAACAAAGCACCATGAAATAACACTGCTCAATTAAAAAGGTTCTTATGCTCCTTCAGTGAGTATCTGACACCCTCCCATACTCCAGAGCCCAGTCCTCTTTCTCCATGAGGACCAAGGAGAAACCACTCATGAAGGAGATGCAACCAGAAGCAACAGAACCACACGAGGCCTTGATTTTCCTCTATCTCACCTCTTCTCCAGATGAGTGGACAGACAAGCCAAATTTCAAAGGGCATTGCCCTTGGCTATGGGAAAACCTTAAGACTGGACTAAATCTGAGCAAGAGAGACCCTCCCATGGCCCAGGCTCTCCAGAGATGGAAGGGTTTCTGGTGATTGCCAGCTGTTGAACTCTAGCTAAATCGAAGGCAATCAAGGGTTTACAAAGTTGGAAGAATACTCAGTAATCTCATCCATTTCTACTTCCCAGTTTGTAAAACTGAGGAATAAAGAAAGAGTTGCCCAATGGTTGAGTCAAGGATGGAATGAGGATCACTAACGTTTTTCCTATCATAACACATGTATGTGTTGTTTGAGAATCTGTAGAGTTGATTTCTGGCACATACATAGTAAGTGTTCGATAGATGTGAGCTGGTAGTAGGAACGGGTGTATGAATAGCGGTATAGAAGTAGTAGAGGTAATTTATTACAAATGAAATATTCTTAAATTATCAATGTGCTCATTTCTTTTGTGGTTTTGATTACATGATTTTTACCCTAGTTTGCCTTAGGCACCCATCTGCCTTGAGGTGGAGTTGAGGGGTAGGGAGGAGATCTTACCCAGGTGTATGGGAGAAGAGGTATGTGGCTTACACGTGCTCCCAGATCAAGCGATGGGTGGGGAAGATGTATGGAGGGTCCCTGCCCTGATGCTGGCCCTGGGATGTGCTTGCTGGTGGACTCTGGCTTCTAGCTTGATGACCCTTGTCTGTGTAGTCACAGAGCGTCCCGTTGGTCTCAAATACTGAAGCTGTGCCTGGTGAAACCATGAGCCATTCTCTGCCTTAACTCCTCCTGGCCTCGGATGCAGACTTTTTTATTTTTTTTGCCCTATCTTCCACACGGCCCCCTGGTGCAGCAGTCTACTCCCACTCCTTGCTGTGAGGCCCGCCATGGCTATCAACTCCATGTCCAAGCCATGTGGGACTGAGGGACGTTCAAGAGACTATGCTACGCTAGCCTCCTAACTAAGCCTGCCTGCCTGATATATCCCAGGCCTTCCTAGCACAGCCATCTCCTCCCAGAAAAACAGAAATGGAACACAAACCCCTTTCATACCCTCCATGTTCCCCTCAAATCCCTGTAGATCCAGAGGGAGAATCAGAACATACACATCACGTCTCTGCTCTTCTCTGTCTCCCTGTTTCTTCTCCCACAATTCCCTAGGGACGAGTTGAGCAAGCTTTTGTCTTCTACTCCTGTCTGAACCTCTCTTACAGAAAACTCTATCCCTTCAAGCTGTTGATGTACCAAAGAGAGACAGACACAAAGGAACTTAGACACACCTACATCTCAAGTCGACAACCTAGTTTGCAAGACTATCAGCCCACTGCATAGTCTTATTTTAACTGTCAGATGCGGAACATTAATTCTTTCTTTCTGCTACACTGTTTCTGTAATAATATTTACTCTTTGCTCAAACAAATGGATACCTCAAGTCAGCTGAGACTAAGATCAGCTACTCTTTAAGGCCAAAGACAAAAGTGGTATTTTCAAATTCTTACCTTAGTTACACTAGTATATATGATAGGCGTTGAGTAGCGAATATAAATACATTCGACAGATGACAGATCCATCATAGTTATAGTTATAACTCATAGCTATATCTTGGAATGAGATCAGGAGAAGAAGAAGGGGAGTCTTCCCATCACTTTCTCCAAAGTGCATGAAGCTGATGACAATGTGAAGAGTTTGGATGAGAGGAATCTCAGATGCTATTGACAACACTTTGAGCTGGGAGAGCTTGGTGGTAATAAATTTGTATCCATTCTGGAGCTTGATCATTCATGTATACACTCAATGTGTATTGAAAATTGAGTTAATTCCGGCTCATGGTGACCCTATGTGTTGCAGAGTAGAACTGAGCTCCACAGGGTTTCCTTGGCTGTGATATTTACGGGAGCCGATTGCCAGGTCTTTCTTTCCTGGTGCCACTGGCTGGGTTTGAACCACCAACCTTTCAGTTAGCCGCCGAGTGCAAACCCTTTGCACCACCCAGGGACCTGTGAAGGTGTGCTAGGCGCTAAGAATTTAACAGCGAAAGAGACATAACCGCAAATTAGATAGAACAACAAGAATGTCAAGGTTGGGGTAATTCACCAACAGTTGGTGGTTCAGTCACCTCTGCCTGAGCCGACCTTGAGCCCTGCCTGATGTCCTCACCTCCATCTGGCCTCCTTCAGTTGCTTTTCCACACAGAGATCCTAGAGAACTTTTCAAGGGACACGTGATTGTGCCACACTCCCTCTCTACCGCTTAAAAGAAAAAGCCCAGCCCTCTCACCCCGTGCAAGCTGAGCTAAGAGACATTGAAAGACACCTCCTTCTCGGGGCCTTTCCTGTTGGGGGTCGGGGTCGGCGGGGGTGGGAGGGTAGGCAGTTAGGATGGCTTAGATTGTTTTCCAGTAATCGTCATTGTCTCTCATTTAAAATGATCCTAACAGGAGAACCAACAGCCAAAGTTTGAGGAGAATCAGTACATGTACCTATACTTCGTATTTTTTATCATCTTTGGCTCATTCTTCAGTCTGAATCTTTTTATTGGTGTTATTATTGACAACTTCAACGAACAGCAGAAAAAGATAAGTATATGCGGGTTGTCCCGACTTGGTGATATCATCTCTGCTCTCCAGAGGGCTTGAAAGGAATGTAACTGTGGTCTAGATTTTTGTGCAAAGCTGCCTTTATCATCCGCTTGAGCACAAAGAGGGAGCCTACCATGTCCTCCTGGAGAAGGTTCTCAAAGATGAGGCTGGAAGGGACTCGAAAACGCTTGGGTTTTATTTAATCACTGTTTTTCACTCTATGTCTGTCTTACCCTCTTAATCAATAGACATTGTCACTGTCAAGATTAAGCCTGATAGTAATTGAACCTTCATAGAACAACAACCACTAGGATTAATATTTGTGAAATTGTAGTCACATTTAAAAGGTGTTTTTCTTTTCAGCTGAACTTTCCATCGACTTAAATCATTATTTTCTGGGAGGTAATTTAAGTGCATATTGCGTTGTTGTTACTTGCTATAGAGTTGATTTTGACTCATAGCAACTCCACGTGTGCAGAGTTCCCATTGCCGTTGAGTGGATTCCGACTCATACAGAGTTGGCTGTGAGTCGGAACGCGTGCAGAGTAGAACTGCTTAATAGTCCCATTTTAATAACCTTTGAAGTGTACTTTGCTATCCAGGGTAAAAATAATACATTCTCCTCTCTTTGCAAATGTGTCTCCTGACCCCCAACACCTAAGCCTCAGCAAATCTACAAAACCTACTTGGAAAGACGGTTGAGGAAGAGGCAGGGTTAGGGAGAAATTTTTCCTGTGTTATAATAAACCTGTTTATTTGTCTGATTTGAAAATCCATAGGAGCTTTGTAGTAAATTTGGAAAATAAAGGAGGATACAGAGAAAATGTCAATCACACACAGGCAGCCACCACAGAAGTCTTTCCTCAGTGCCTTTTGTTACTTTGATACTATCCCTTCCAGTCACTTTTTCACCAAATATTTTACACCATTGGGATTACACTGTATTTTTCATTTTGTAGCTTTCCTCTGTCAGTTATGAGTCCACGTCATGAAATCATCTCTGATACAAGAATTTTCAGGGCTGAACTATATCCCAGTTTATGGATAAACCACAATTTATCCTGATCATTCCCCTCTTTTTGGATATTCAGGTCGTTTCTAAATTTCTTGCTCTTCTAAAACAATCACGACCATTCTCGAAACTCTGTGCATCTCTGATTAGTTCCTCAGGATAAATTGCTAGAATTAGAATATTTAAGGCATTAAACATGTGTTGTCAGATTACCTTCCAGAAATGCTGTGCTGCAGGCTGTCCTTCTGCAGGCTATGGAGCTGCCTGTTGATTCTGTTCTCATTATTGCGAGTGTTAGAACTTTCATTGTCTCTTCTGGTTTGATGGGTACAAGTGTTACCTCGTTCTTTTCTTTTTCATTTATTTGATCATTAGTGAGGTTAGACATTTTTCACAGGAGATAGCCATCAGTATTTCTCCCTTAAGAATTATCTTTTTATATCCTTTGTGTATTTTTTTAACATATTTTTATTTTTTTTATTGTGGTAACAAAACGTTTGCCATTTCAACATCTTTTACATGTACAGTTCAGTGACATTAATCATGTTCATCATGTCATGCAACCATCACTATCTGTCGCCAGCCTTGTCCATCACCCTTAGCAGAAGCTTACTGCCGTTTTTAAAATTGGGAATATCATCATTTGCATATGTCTTTTTATATAGTAAGTCCAGTTGGTGACTTGCTTCTTAGAGTTTTGTAATGATGTTTTTGACTTGTAGACATTTAGGATTTTTATGACATCAAACTGCCAATCTCGCCCCTTTTGGCTTCTTTTCTTGCATTTATATCCCAAATGCATTTCTCAATCCCAGTATCAGGGAACTAAATAGTCACCTCTGGTTTTCTCGTTCTGTGGCTTTCTTTCTTTCTTTTATTTTTTATTTTTTCCTGTTGGACTCTTGTCATCCATCTGCAATGCACCCCGATACCGACTAGGCTTCTTAGTATCTGCTGGGAGCGTCATTCACTGTCCTCCTGCGACTGTCTCACTGCTGCTACTCAGGAGTTTGTACTCAGCGGTGACTCCGTGACGTGCAGCCTGATTGCAATCAATACCTGATCAGCTTTGATGTTAGCCCTGGTGATTTTAGATTTAGCCTTACATTTGAAATCACTGTTTTGATCAGTCCACAGCACATTTTTGTTTTGTTTTGTTTTACTTTTCGTTATGGAAATTTCAAACATGCACAAGAGTGTAGCAGCAGAACCTAAAATACCCATCATCCAGAGTGATATTTATTGACTTAAGCACATCTTTGTGATCTCTATGCCCTAACCCAACACTGACATCCAATTTTTTTATAGAGCAAATCACAGACATCACATTTCTTCTCTAAATATTTCTTATAAAATATGTCTTTTTAAAACATAACCACAATTCCATTATCACACCTAAAAAAATTTAACACTAATTCTTTAATATCACTAAATAATACCCAGTGTTCAGATTTCCCAGAGTTTTTATTTTTAAAAATATTTATTTATATTAAAGGGTTTTTTTTTTTGTTTTTTTCATCTCAGGATTCAAATAACGTCCTCCCCTTTCACAGCTTCCTTGTTCTCAAGAATGACAAGGTGTCCCGGGATCAGGTGGTCTTTCCTGTCCCACACCAGGACTCAGCTGTTCTCTAAGGAGCGCTGGCTTCTTTAGTGGGAAACGGAGTTCCCAGACCACAGTCTTGATCATCATTTCTGGGCTTTTCAGTGGACAGAGCTGCATCAAATTCAGGACTACAGGGAGATCTATGTATGGAAATGTGCATACTCATAATTCAAATTCAGGACTATAAGGTTTTCACTTCATCTCCCCCTCTACCCCATCTGTGTCTCTTCTTTTCCACACTCAGAAATCAGAGCACAGGAGGTGATAGAATTAAAACTTTCCACAGTTACTCAGTTTCTTTATCCCACAAAGTACACAAAACAGTCTCAGAACAACAGTGTTAATACCACCATGAGGAATATTATTACTGACATCACTTGTGACCCCTACACATCTCAAAACACCCCGGTTAACAACTAGGGCTGTTATTTTTGGCTCACACTGGTGGTATAAATTCAAACTCCAGACCCTTGCTAAGGAAGGCCTGGGGTCACACATTATCAGGGGAGACCTGGTTTTTGCCCATAGTCCAGGTTGAGGCAGACACATTTCCTCACTGTCTTCGGTTCCTAGTAGACAGTCTGTCTTCTTCCCACTTTCATGGAGAACGCAGCCCTTGGAGAGTTCCAGATTCCTACAGGGACCTCCGCTCCACCCTTCCCTGCACCTAAGTCCGCTGCCTTTGGTCTGACCCCCTAACGGGTTTTAAAACCCAAGAATCTAGTTTATAACCAGTCGCTGTTGAATCAGTTCCAACTCACGGCCATCCCACATGTTGCAGAGTAGAACTGCTCCATAGGGTTTTCAAAGCTGCAGTCTTACAGGAATCTAGTTTATAGAGATTAGCAAATGCCTTTAGGCCAGCCGTGGCTACAGGACTAATTTACTACTTCATTTTTATTTTATTTTTTAAATCTCTTCTGATTTTCAGATCCTGGAGATTTTCCTTACTTTGGTGGAAGCTCAACTATACATTTAAAAGGAATTCTGTTCTGTTTTACCCAGTGTTTCTAGACAGTTTGTCCCTGAATTTCCAGAAACTAAAATCCTCATGCGTTTTTTTATTCTGTCAGTATTGAAAACATTTAAAGCTCTTTTTTTTTTTTCTCCTGAGAATGGCTCTGAACAGGTTTTATGAAATTGTTAGTAATGCTTTATGTATTCATTATTTAGGAGAATTTTATTTGGCATTTTATGGGACTTTTATCTAAATGTTTGTAATGATTCCACATACGTTTGCAAAAAAAAAAAAAATTGTAACCTTTGTTTATAGTATAAAAAGTGAAGCGTAGCTGATGAGAGTAACCTTATTCCTCCCCCATTCTTTCACTTAAACCCTATTTCCTTTCATCCATCCCCTAGAGTTCAGCCTCTTTTACTTTCTGTTAGAATTTCAAGAATTATTAAGAAAAATATAACTTTAAAACGATTCCTAAAAATTCAGAACTCATCTCCAAAAACCTATTAAAGTAATTATTTCTCATATTCTCCATGTACTTAGGTGGCCAAGACATTTTTATGACAGAAGAACAGAAGAAGTACTACCATGCAATGAAAAAATTAGGATCCAAAAAACCTCAAAAACCCATTCCAAGGCCTCTGGTGAGAACAATTGAATAATACCAATTACATATACCATAGACTGATTAAGTGGTTATGAGGAACTTGGATTTCTGCGATCTCCTTTATTCTTTAAATTCACAGACATTATCTAAAACTCAATAAAAACCCAAATGTACTGGTAATTCTCACATCCTTCTGAAAATAAGACATTCCGATTCGACAGTAAGACCCTGGGAACAACTTTAATTTGCCTTTTAGTGAGCACACAGTGAGTGCTGAGTATATATTCACTGCAATGATGTGAAAGCAGTTTGAACTTCATGTCACCAACATTTAAAACGTATTTGTAATATTTTTACCAGAATTTTGTGGTGTGAGGTTGACATCATGCAGACTCCTTTGTACTTCACAAGTATTTATGATAAACTTTCTATATCAGGAGCCAGCAAACTCTTTCTCTAGAGGACTAGATAGGAAGTATTTTAGACTTTGTGGGTCAAATGGCCTCTTGCCATCATTCTACAAAAACGACCGTAGACAATACATAAATGAATGGATGGGGCTGTGTTCCAATACAGTTTTATTTATGGACACTGAAATCTGGATCTCACATGGTCTTCACACATCACACAATAAGAGTCCTCTTTTGAATATTTTTCAACCATTAAAAAATGTGAAGATCATTCTTAGCTCGTGGGCTGTACAAACAACGGGAAGTGAGCCAGATTTGGCCTGCACACCTCAGTCAGCTGAGCCCTGTGTTCCATGCATCCTGCTTGTCCAGGTACTGAGGGCAGGGTCAGCATGTCATCCAGTGTTGCTCTGTGTTTGCAGCCTATTTGAGGAGCATTAGATCATGGAGCAGCGCAACAAGCCCAGTTGGTGCCCCTGACAACTGAGTTTGGAAGGCTTACAAGGCAGGGCGGGTCAGTGGAGGCTGAAAAGTTGGGAAGGCAGCATGGAATTGGGGTTTGAGTTCTGATGCGTGTAGCGGGATTGAGATTTTCATTCCAGACATGAGACCCAACAAGATCCACCAAACAAGATCCAAGATATGTTTAATTTACTGCCGGATTCCCAACACTTAGAATAGAACCTGGCGTAGACTGTGTTCTCAGCAATTATTTGTTGACCGAAAGAATGTGTTTTAGGGCACAAACCGTAGTCCATCCTGATAGGAGAAACGTTTGTATTGCACTAAAGATGTCTGTAAATATCAGTGCAAAGTGTTCAGAATTTATCCTGTATACAGCAGGGGATTTTTGACCAGGGGTTAATGATAAAATTATATTTGAGGAAGTTCCTTCATGATTCCTCCCGAAGCATCCCCACAGGGCGGCTTCATTACTTGATTTAAAAATCATACTGAGGTGCAGAAGTCACTATACATGCTGAAGTGGCATAAACTGATACAGAATGCTTTTGGATCATCTGCCACTTTGGGTAATTTATAGTCTTTAACCTTCTCCATTTGTCTAAATATTAGAGTTGAACTAAAGGTGAGGACCTTTATTCTTGCCCCTCATTCTGTTTCCCTGGAGAATACCCTTAAAAGTGTCTTTTCTCCTAGGTCCTTTCTGGCTTCTCAGATGTATTCCTATATAGGAAATGCACTTGACTTTCAAGTGTCTTCTCCAAGCTCCTTGATAAAAGCCTTAGGGCTCCCAGCTCATGGTTTGAAAAACACCAAGTTAAACGTAGTGTCCCTCCAATGCTGTCCTTAAACCTCTTTCTTCTCACCACCCTTGCTCTACCTGAGTGGTATCATTCACTCTCATGGTTTCAGTTCACATCAGTATTGATGCCACTGTCCTCCACACCTGTAATCCAGCTTCTGCACCTGAGCTCCAGGCCCACACCTCCACCTGCCCCATGGTCCTTGGATGTCCCACAGAGGCTCAACATACTCAAGACAGATCTCATCACCTGCCTCCAAAATTGTTCATCCTTTGGGTTCTCTGGCCAGTTGAATGGTTCCACCAAACAGAAATGAGAGCCTTGACTTTCATTACATTCAAATAGTCTCTGATTTCTCTTGTTCCTACCTCCGTATTAGCTCTTAAACCTATAAGATTTAAATCTGTAAGTGTTCTCCACTGTTACCCCCCAAGCCACCATCATATTTTTCCTGGACTACCTACCACACAGATCCCTGGGTAATCCCTAGATCGCCACAACTGATCTTCAGATGTCTTCTAAATAGAATTGTGTATGCACACTTTGATTAGATAATATAAAATACTTTAAAATGTACATATATTCTAAAACAACCAGTCTGTAGTTAAGAACTGTCACACAATTGCAGTGTCTGAGTTTGTGTTTAAGAAGCTTTCCACCTGGTAAAGGATGAAGTAGTGCTTCACAGCAGTTAGACTCAAGAAACCAATGGAATAACTGCTTCACTTCACCGCCCATGGTAGGTTAGGCATGCAGACGTGAGTCGGAACCTGTGGCAAAGCAATCAGCACATGCTCACTTCGTGAGCAGTATGGCCATCTGTGTACAAACCAATATGTAAGTTTGCCAACAGTAATAATAAGAAATAATGAGTTTTTATGTTTCCATTTTTAGCAATCACTGGATCATAGTTCCATGTATCTAGCCTTATCCTCAAGTAAACAAGAACTAGAAAATTGGCATTCAAGAATTGCCTAAATACAGAGTTTTGGTTAAGTATAAGTTCTGATTATTCTAAACTGGCAAATGAAGCCTTGGAGACATTAATTCAATTTTGTCCAACATACTTGTATGAGCAGGTATTCTTTTCCTTAGTATTATTGAGGCCACATTACAGAAACAGACGAAATATGGAAAGCAACGGTCATCTTTTTCTTCTTAAATCCAACGTGAGCTACTTCATTTCAGCAAAACAACATCTTCTGTCACATCAAAATTAACTTGTTAATAAGAATTTTAATTTTTTAAATGGAATTAAAGCTATTAGCCTAAGCAGCTTATAACCAGTTACCTAATTAGGTAATTAGTTACCTAATTAAATTTAAAGGAAAATATGTAAGACAATACTGGGAATCTACAAGAATTTCTTGTCCTTTAAAAAGTATCTCTACCTTTTCCAAGAAACTGCTTTAATTTTGAGAGAACACATCCTGTTGTATTCATGTGCCATTTTTGTGTATGTGATTTCATTCTTAAAACTCAAAATAATCTATGATTTCTCTTTTCTCCCCCTCAGAACAAATGCCAAGGTCTCGTGTTCGACCTAGTCACCAGCCAGGTCTTTGACATCCTCATCATAAGTCTCATTGTCCTAAACATGATTAGCATGATGGCTGAATCAGTCGACCAATCTGAAGACATGACAAACATCCTTGAGAATCTCAACCTGACCTTTGTGGTTATCTTTACAATAGAGTGTCTCATCAAAATCTTTGCTTTGAGGCAGTACTACTTCACCAATGGCTGGAATTTATTTGATTGTGTGGTCGTGGTTCTTTCTATTGTTAGTAAGTAGAATCAGCAGCCAGAGGGGCTTTAGACTGAGAGCCAGAAGTAAACTTGTAAATTGCCACGAATCATCCAAATTATTCACAAGGCCACAAATTTGCACTTACCTACATTTCTGAAATAATAGACAGGCATACGAATGCCATTCTCTAGTGGGTCGTTGCCAGGAGATGTAATTTCTGCTCCCTAGACTGTCTACACAATTGACTTCAAGAGTTTCGAGTTGATTCTGACTCATAGTGACCCTACAGGACAGAGGAGAACTGCCCCATAGAGTTTCCAAGGAGCGGCTGGTGGATTCGAACTGCTGACCTTTTGGTTAGCAGCTGAGCTTTTAACCACTGCACCAGAAAAAAATTAAGATGACTCATAAGTTTTTGTGGGGGCTACCCAATTTACCCAGGTAATTAAGTCAGTTTCACCTGTCTGGTGCAACTGTAAGCCCTGATGAGCATTTTATAAAGTTTTAAGGATTTGACCTTTAGAGCCCCGTGTTTTTCCTTTGTTCAAAATCCATGTAGGTGGTAGACCACGATTGTTGTCCCCTGAGACAGGGCTGTGCCTCCCATACCTCCTGTCCAGGCCCCATGGCCGATTCTGGATTGGGCTTCCTAGGGTGTGTCATAAGGGCAAGCAGGCCTTTTCTTTGCTCCATATCCCATGTTAACTTACCACAGTGTGAACTATGCTTGTCTCTGCTGCTTTGACACATTCATCAACCAACCGTACTCTATAATCTGTCTATTTTCTTAACCATAGGCAGGAGTAACTATAAGGTTTATGGAAAGAGAATAGGGTAAAAAGAGAGTAATTGCAGGATATCTTTTGATACTATCACTTGTCTGTCAGTTTGTTGTAGTGTGGTGGCTTGCGTGTTGCTGTGATGCTGGAAGCTATGCAACCAGTATTTCAGATACCAGCAGGGTCACCCATGGTGAACAAGTTTCAGCAGAGCTTCCAGACTAAGACAGACTAGAAAGAAGGACCTGGCAGTCTACTTCTGAAAAAAACTGGCCAGTGAACACCTTATGAATAGCAGTGGAACATTGTCTGATATAGTGCAAGAAGATGAGCCCCTCAGGTTGGAAGGCTCTCAAAATATGACTGGGGAAGAACTGCCTCCTCAATATAGAGTCAACCTTAATGACGTGGATGGAGTAAAGCTTTTGAGACCTTCATTTGCTGATGTGGCATGAATCAAAATGAGAAGAAACAGCTGTAAACATCCATTAAAAATCAGAACATGGAATGTACGAAGTATGAATCTAGGAAAATTAGAAGTCTTCAGATATGAAATGGAACACAAAGATCAATATCCTAGGCATTAGTGAGCTGAAATGGACTGGTATTGGCCATTTTGAATCAAATAATCATATGGTCTGCTATGTTGTGAATGACAAATTGAAGAATGGCATCGCGTTCATCATCAAAAAGAATACTTCAAGATCTATCCTGAAGTACAACGCTGTCAGGGATAGGATAATACCCATACGCCTACAAGGAAGACCAGTTAATACGACTAGTATTCAAATTTACCACCAACCACTAATGCCAAAGATGAAGAAATTGAACATGTTTACCAATTTCTTCAGTCTGAAATTGGTCAAACATGAAATCAGGATGCATTGATAATTACTGGTGATTGGAGTGCGAAAGTTGGAAACGAAGAAGGATCGGTAGTTGGAAAATATGGCCTTGGTGATAGAAACTATGCTGGAGATAGCAGGATACAATTTTGCAAAATCAATGACTTCTTCATTGCAAATACCTTTTTTCAACAACATAAATGACGACTATACACGTGGACCTCACCAGATGGAATACATAGGAATCAAAGTTACTATATCTGTGGAAAGACACAATGGAGAAATTCAATATCATCAGAACAAGGCCAGGGGCCAACTTTGGAATAGACCATCAGTTGCTCATAGGCAAGTTCAAGTTGAAGCCGAGGAAAATGAGAAAAAGTCCACGAGAGCAAAAATGTGATCTTGAGTATATCCCACCTGAGTTTAGAGACCATCTCATGAATAGATTTGAAGCATTGAACACTAATGACTGAAGGCCAGACGAGTTGTGGGATGACATCAAGGACATCATACATGAAAAAAGCAAGAGGTCACTAAAAAGACAGAAAAGAAAGAAAAGACCAAAATGGATGTCAGAAGAGACTCAGAAACTTGCTCTAGAACATAGAGCAGCTAAAGCAAATGGAAGACATGGTGAAGTAAAAGAGCTGAACAGAGGATTTCAAAGGGCGGGTTGAAAAGACAAAGTAAAGTATTATAATGTGCACAGACCTGGAGTTCGAAAACCAAAAGGGAGGAGTATGCTTGGCATTTTTCAAGCTGAAAGAACTGAAGAAAAAATTCAAACCTCAAATTAAAATATTGAAGGATTCTGTGGGCAAAATATTAAATGACACAGGAAACATCAAAAGAAGATGGAAGGAATACACAGAATCACTGTACCAAAAAGAATTGGTTGATGTTCAGCCATTTCAGGAGGCAGCATATGATCAAGAACCAATGGTATTGAGGGAAGAGGTCCAAGCTGCACTGAAGGCATTGGAGAAAAACAAGGCTCCAGGAATGGACAAAATATCTACTGAGATGTTTCAACAAACAAATGCAGCCTGGAGGTGCTCACTTGTCTATGCCAAGAAATTTGGAAGACAGCTACCTGGCCAACCGACTGAAAGAGGTCCATAATTGTACCCATTCCAAAGAAAGATGATCCAACAGAATGTGAAGATTATCGAACAATATCATTAATATCACATGCAAGTAAAGTTTTGCTGAAGATAATTCAAAAGTGATGACAACAGTACATTGACAGGGAGCTGCAAGAAATTCAAGCCGAATTCAGAAGAGGACATGGAACAGGAATATCATTGCTGATGTCAGATGGATCTTGGCTGAAAGCAGAGAATACCAGAAAGATATTTTTAATAAAACCTGTTGTTGCTAAGTCGATTCCAACTAATAGCCACCCTATAGGACAGAGTAGAACTGCCGCATAGGATTTCCAAGGCATGGCTAGTGGATTCGAACTGCCAACCTTTTGGTTAGCAGTCATAGCTCTTAACCAGTGTGCCATCAGGACTCCTAGAAAACTATGCAAAGGCATTTGACCGTGTGGATCATAGCAAATTATGGATAACATTGCAAAGAATGGGAATTCCAGAACACGTAATTGTGCTTATGAGGAACTTGTACATAGACCAAGAGGTAGTCATTCAAGCAGAACAAGGGAATACTGCGTGGTTCAAAGGCAAGAAAAGTGTGCATCAGGGTTGTATCCTTTTATTCAGTCTGTATGCTGAGCAAATAATCCGAGAAGCTGGACTATATGAAGAAGAACTTGGCATCAGATTAGAAGAAGACTCATTAACAATCTGCAATATGCAGATGACACAACCTTGCTGAAAGTGAAGAGGACTTGAAGCACTTACTGATGAAGATCAAAGACCACAGCCTTCAGTACGTATTACACCTCAACATGAAGAAAACAAAAATCCTCACAACTGGACCAATAAGCAACATCATGATAAACGGAGAAAAGTTTGAAATTGTCAAGGATTTCATTTTGCTTGGATCCTCAATCAATACCCATGGAAGCAGCAGTCAAGAAATCAAACAATGTATTGCATTGGGCAAATCTGCTGCAAAAGACCTCTTTAAAGTGTTAAAAAGCAAAGATGTCACTTTAAGGACCAAGGTGCACCTGACCCAAGCCATGATGTTTTCAGTTGCCTTATGTGCGTGTGAAAGCTGGACAACGAATAAGGAAGACGGAAGAAGACTTGATGCCTTTGAATTATGGTGTTGGCGAAGAATGCTGAATATACCATGGACTGCCAGAAGAATGAATAAATCTGTCTTGGAAGTACAGCCAGAATGCTCCTTAGAAGCGAGGATAGCCAGACTTTGTCTCGCCTACTTTGGACATGTTGTCAGGAGGGACCAGTCCCTGGAGAAGGACATCATGCTTGGCAAAGTAGCGGGTCAGCAAAAAAGAGGAAGACCCTCAACGAGATGGATTGATGCAGTGACTGCAACAATGGGCTCAAGCATAACAACAGTTGTGAGGATGGTGCAGGACTGGGCAGTGTTTCCTTCTGTTGTACAAAGGGTCGTTATGAGTTGGAACCAACTCATAGTACACAGAGTACAAATCACGTAGTACACAGCAAAAGTGAGTTCAGAGAAAGGACAGATTACTGTGGGCTGCATTAGTCAAAGAAATATTTTTGGAGGAGGTGGGACTTAAAGGACGGACCTCCAACAGCTATTGCCAAATTGTCACTTAATATATTCCACATCTTGCCCAATTGGCTGCCCAATTTACATATGAATTAAACTTCTTTGGTACAAGTGAACAGTGAGTGAGGTATATTATCATCTAGTTCTCTTTAGTCGTTAGGTGATGGCAGATGCATTTTGGCTGCCTGTGCTAGAATGATCCCTAACGACCTTAGAGGTGCCCAGGGCAAGAACAAGCCATCTATACAAGGCAGGCATGTTCCAGCCATTCTGTAATATTTGGGCCAAAATGTGTGTTGTTTTAAATCCTTGTATCACTTGCCTGCAGGGCAGGCAATGAGAGATCAAGGTGACATTTTAAGCCAAATACTCAGTTGTTTGAAAAAAAATCTTTGCTTGAGTTGCCATGTTGGGGTCAACAACAACAGAGAAAGTATCTTCCAGTTTGGTTCTTAAGCTTCTTGAATTTGGACCTTGGGGATCCCTGCATTGAATATATTTACATATATGAGCGATCCATAGTCCAAAGATGAGTGTCCCAACACCACCATGTCCCCTCAGCCCTACCCACATTGGGGCTCTTTTGGCAAATAAGCTGTCCTTGCTTGTGGTAGGGCTGTATTCAGATTCTTCCTTACATATAAGAACCTGTTCATTTTTAAAGATCTTTGGAGGTAGGGGTTCCCACAATTTCCACTCACACCCCCGGCTCCAGCTAAACTTGAGTATCAGAAATTTGTCCTTTCTTTCTAATCTTGAAGACATAAAGTGTGGTTTATCTGTTTTTCATTCTACATACCGTATTCAATAAACATAGATACCTATTATATTTGTTACCCCATAAGTGGCTTTGAATACCCAGCAAAGATAATGGATATCAAGTGCATGAAATAGCTCACAAAATAGCCTTTCATAAACCACTTAAGCTTCCCTTCTGGCCTCTTTTCCTTCGTTGTCTTTCTTCAATATTTTAGACATTCTTTGAGTCCCTCTCACCTCTTACATGACCTTCCACATTCTGAGAACAGGAATTTTCTGTGAAAAGCACAAGCACAGATCCAACAACATGATGCATGTGGAAGTGTACCTTTTTAATTTAACCATAATCACTTTCACAGTCCGAAACTTTGTGGCCCTCGGAAATTATTTTCCAAGTTAAGATAGATAGTTTCCCTGATATTAGTAAAGAAAAGTCTTAATTTTGTGTATGAGTGACAAAGCATTGAGAAAAAGTTGGCCTCATCAGGATTCTGAGGCAGGAGAGGCAACCTGGGTCTGAATGGAGTGTAACTACTGGGAACTCATTGACCATTCTTTCTCCTAAGGTACAATGATTTCTGCCTTGGAAAACCATCAGCGCATTCCTTTTCCTCCCACGCTCTTCAGGATTGTCCGCTTGGCTAGGATAGGCCGAATCCTGAGACTCGTTCGAGCAGCACGAGGAATTAGAACTCTTCTTTTTGCTCTGATGATGTCCCTTCCTTCTCTGTTCAACATTGGTCTTCTGCTCTTTCTGGTTATGTTTATTTATGCTATTTTTGGTATGAACTGCTTTTCCAAAGTGAAGCAAGAGTCTGGAATTGATGATATATTCAACTTCCAAACCTTTGTTGGCAGCATGCTCTGTCTCTTCCAGATAACCACATCAGCAGGCTGGAACACCCTCCTCAGCCCCATGCTGAAAACCAATGACCCCTGTGACCCCTCCTTGGAGAACTGTTACCTCCCTGCCATAGCCATAACCTACTTTGTCAGTTACATCATCATCTCTTTTCTCATTGTTGTCAACATGTACATTGCTGTGATTTTAGAGAACTTCAATACAGCCACTGAAGAAAGTGAGGACCCTTTGAGTGAAGATGACTTTGAAATATTCTATGAAGTCTGGGAAAAGTTTGATCCAGAAGCAACACAGTTTATCAGATATTCTGCCCTTTCTGACTTTGCTGATGCCCTGCCTGAGCCCTTACGTGTGGCAAAGCCAAATAAATTTCAATTTCTAGTGATGGACTTGCCAATGGTGAGTGGGGATCGTCTCCACTGTATGGATATTCTCTTCGCTTTCACCACTAGGGTGCTTGGGGACTCTGAAGGCCTGGACAGCATGAAAACAATGATGGAGGAGAAGTTCATGGAAGCCAACCCTTTCAAGAAGTTGTATGAACCCATAGTCACCACCACCAAGAGGAAGGAAGAGGAAAGATGTGCTGCTGTTATTCAAAAGGCATTTCGAAGGTACCTGACGATGACCAAGTGTGCCTTGGGAGACAGGCCTCATTCACCACTCCAGACGCTCTGTAATGGAGACTTGTCCAGCTCTGGGGTGACTGAGGGCAAGGTCCACTATGACTGAGCCCCTTGCCTCCACCCCTACCTCACAGCCTCACAGCCTTGCCTCCCATCCCCAGCTCCAGGGGTCCGCAGCTCAGTGTATGAACAAGCAGTGGACTCACTGAACTAACCATTCCATTTTTCCTGGCTAAAGTCAAGAAGTGATATTTCAATGTTCATTTCACATGAATCTTACAGAGATATGAGATAAAGCTGTCTGACTAGCAGCCACGGGTACTACTTTAATAAGAAAGAAGACACTATACAGGGCCGTAAAGAACACATTTCTGTTAGGATTGAAACACACTTCAAATTATGTCAAAATAAAAGAACAAAAAGAGGACAAAACAGCACATTGAAAGTTTTAAATTGTGTTTTTCTGTATGTTTCTAGGTCCATTACCCAATACTTTTGCATAATGTTTTCACCTGTGCAAGTATGTGACCTATCACACATGGGTCTTCTGCATGTTAAATGAAAATTCAAAAACTTGCTAATAAATGAGCTTACTGCAGATAGTTTTGGCAATGTTAAGTATTTTGGGTTCATTTCATACCTAAAGGCATGATCTCGACGTGTCAGTTACTACCCTGTCTTTCACCAGCTACAATCTCTGTTATAAATGTTTGAAAAAATAAATTAATTAAAATTTGCAGTTCTCTCAGATAGTACACTAATGATTCTCTAGTTTTTCAGTGGCTTTGTAAGCAGTGGTTTACATGAAGTGCTTTGCTTGGAATTGAAGTTTAACAATTGGCTCTCCAGGGGGGAAACAAAAGACCTGGTTTGTAGTATTTACTGACTTCCATGGTATAAATGGGTGTCTGGTGGCACAGTGGTTAAGAGAGAGGGTTTCTAACCAAAAGGTCGGCAGTTTGAATCCACCAGCAGCTCCTTGGAAACCCTATGGGGCAGTTCTACCCTGTCCTGAAGGGTCGCTATGACTTGGAATCGACTCGACAGCAATGGGTTTGGTTTTTTTGGTTATGGTATAAATATCTGATCGTGGCTGATCTCCAGCTGCCGACATGATGTCACTGAACATGGACTTGGGAAAAGACGTTGACAATGAGTTCTCACAAGCTGGCCGGAGCCAATAAAAATGTCTCACTTGACTTTGTTTAAAATATCTGCGTGGACACCTTGGATGATGACACCTGGGCCATCGGGTGGGGAAGGCATAAGACACACCCAGGAAGCAAGTGATCCTGGCCATATGATGAGCCTTAGACTCAGTTCTGGCTGAAGAGCATGAAAAAAAATGCACGCCTATGAAAACAGCCCAGAGACTGATCCCTCCTGATAACATGCCCAAAGTGCATGAAACGAAGTCTCACCATCCATGCTTCTAAGGAGCATTCTGGCTGCACTTCTTCCATGGTAGATTTGTTTGTTCTTCTGGCAGTCCATGGTATATTCAATATTCCTTACCAACACCATAATTCAAAGGCATTGATTCTTCTATGGTGTTCCTTATTCACCATCCAGCTTTCACATGCATATGAGGCAATGGAAAACACCATGGCTTGGGTCAGGCGCACCGTAGTCCTCAAAGTGACATCTTTGCTTTTTAACACTTTAAAGGGGTCTTTTGCAGTAGATTTGCCCAATGCAGTGCGTAGTTCCATTTCCTGACTGCTGCTCCCATGGGCGTTGATTGTGGATCCAAGTAAAATGAAATCCTTTACAATGTCAATATTTTCTCTGCTTATCATGATGTTGCTTATTGGTCCAGTAGTGAGGATTTTTGTTTTCTTCATGTTGAGGTGTAATCCATACTGAAGGCTGTGGTCTTTGATCTTCATCAGTCAGTGCTTCAAGTCCTCTTCACTTTCAGCAAGCAAGGTTGTGTCATCTGCATATCACAGGTTGTTAATGAGTCTTCCTCCAATCCTGATGCCCCATTCTTCTTCATATAGTCCAGCTTCTCGGGTTATTTGCTCAGCATACAGATTGAATAGGTATGGTGAAAGGATACAACCCTGATGCACATCTTTCCTGACTTTAAACCAGGCAGTATCCCCTTGTTCTGTTGGAATGACTTCTGTGCCATGGAATCAATTCCCACTCAGTGACCCTATATGACAGAATAGAACTGCCCCGTAGGATTTCCTAGGCTGTCATCTTTATTGGGAGGAGCCTGGTGGCGCAATAGTTAAGCACTCAGCTGCTAACTGAAATGTCAGTGGTTTGAACCCACCAACACCTCCGAAGGAGAAAAGACCTGGTGATCTGCTCCCATAAAGATTATAGCCTGAAGACCCTATATGGCAGTTCCAGTCTATCATATGGGATTGCTATGAGTCAGAATTGACTTGGTGGCATACCAGCACCACAACAATCTTTACGGCGGAGCCACTGGTGGGTTTGAACCACTGACCTTTTGGTTAGCAGCCAAGTGCTTTAACCATTGTGCCCCAGGGCTGCTTCTCATAGTTCTAGAGGCCAAAACTCAAAAATCAAGGTGTTGGCAGGGCCACACCCCCTCTGGAGGCTGTAGGGGAGAACCCTTCCTTGCCTTTTCCAGCCTCTGGTGGCTTCCAGCGTCCCTCGACTCGGGGCAGTTACACTTCAGTCTCTGCCTTCATCTTCATATGGCCATCTTCTCTCTGCGTCTGTTTATCTCTTCTTCTCCTCCTACGAACATGCCAGTCAGATTGGATTAGGGCCCACTCTAGTCCGCTATGACCTCATCTTAACTTGATTATATCTGCAAAGACCTTATTTCCAAATACTGGGAATTAGGACTTCAACATTTTATTCGGGGCCACAATTCATCCCACAAAACAACCTGCAGAAGTGTCTATCAGCAGCATGGAGCTGCATCCGAACCCCTGTTCTGCCCCACTGTCCAGTTGAGGGAGGGACGGCAAAGATCCCCTGTCAGACTGAAGTGATTGTTCTCAAATATGTGCAAGATCTAACCGTGACTTGATTCATTCTTGTCCAGGGCCTGAGCTTTGTGAGTTCTGTAGGCAGCCTGGTGCTCTGGAGGGTTGGCAAAATAAAAGTAATATCATTAGCTAATACTTATTTAGTGGTTGCTGTGCATCCGGCACTGGCCAAACATTTGCCATGAGGAATCTCATTTGTACCTCACACCAATCCAGTGAGGAAGGTACACCCATTTTAAACATGAGAAAACTGAGGCTCAGAGCGGTTGACTAAGTTGCACAGCATCACCCACCAGGTGGAGTCAGAGCCTCCGTGTTGTGCTGGACAAGGGGGAGTTGGTCATCTCGGGACCAGAAACTTCTGAGACAGGGGTCCCCCCTGCAGGGCTGTGAGGGTCTTGTGGAAATGACCAGTTCTAAAGCCACGGGCCAGTTCTCCTTGAGGCACTGGGGATGACTTGTGGCTCCCCTAAAAGATACCTCTGATTATGAACTTTGGCCGTTTTATGGAACCCTACCAAGTTTTCTGAAAAAGATGGCTGGCCGTCATTCCAGTGGAGATAGTTCCTGGCTAGAGACGGAGAAGGATCTGGAAGGACATGGCCTTGCCCATTGCATGTTAGATTCCAGATGAGATCTAAGCACCGCCCCACCCCCAACATACATACACAACTGCCCACCCTAGACGGTCTCATTTGGCCAGAGGTGGATTCCTGGAGCATCTCCTGAGGAGAACACAAGATCCATTTGTCTTCAGCGAGAGGCTGAACCACTCTTCCTTCGCTAGATGGCAGCAAACGCACGGCACGTCCTTTTTGGAGCGCCGCCAGCATCTTTTTGTGAGCCTGGAACTCAGAAAGCCGGAGCACTGCAGGGAGGAGAGCCGAGGCATGAAGTGGTGAATTACCCAGACCTAGATGGGAGCTAGACAGTTCACCTTCCTCCACGGTAGCCATCACTGGGAGAGGACCAGGACACTGCCAGGAGGCAGAGATGTTGGTCTGTGCTCTGCCCTCCTGGGGTCATTCTGAATACCCATAGCTAACAGCCCTTCAGGGACTTGGAGCCAGGCCCCATGTCCTCTGAGTCTTCTCTCTTCCAGAAATCAACCCCTACTCAATGCAATCAATGGACATGTTCCTGAGAATCAATGCAGTATAAAAGTCTGTTGCCGATGAGTCGATTCCCCACGTGTGCCAGAGTAGAACTGTACTCCACAGGGTTTTCAGTGGCTGATTTTTCAGAAGTATATCACCAGGTCTTTCTTCCAAGGTGCCTCTGAGTGGACTCGACCTCCAATCTGTCACTTAGCAGCCAAGTGTGTTAACCATTTGTACCACCCAGAGACTCCCCCATGCAGTATACCTTGCATAAACTGCTACAAACAAAAGACGTGGTCATTAACCTCAAGAGCATATATGCCCACTGGGAGGAGATCAGACGTGTTCACATCATGATAAAACCCATTGCCGTCAAGTTGATTCCAGCTCATAGTGACCCTAGAGGACAGAGTAGAACTACCCCACGGGATCTCCAAGGCTGTAAATCTTTACAGAGCAGACCGCCACATCTTTCTCCCATGGAACAGCTGGTGGATTTGAACCGCCGATCTTTCATTTAGCAGCCGAGTGCTTTAACCACTGCGCAGCCAGGGCTCCTTGATCATACACTACAATATAACAAGTGCCATAAATCAAAGACACACCGCTGCTCTAGGGGTGTTCATGGAGACAAGCTCACAGGGAGAGCATCACAGGAGAGAAGCATCTGAGATGTGCAGGACTTTGATGTAGGTGGTTGGGGGGTGTTGGAATTGGAGGAGACGGCACAAGCAGCACCATGGAGGCTAGAAGACGTAAAGAAGTACAAGTCAGCAGAGTGGCCCTAGAGCAGAAACAGTGGAGCGGCAAGAAACGGGCTGTTTTATGGAAAACTTCAAATGCCAAGGTAAGGAGTTATACATACACAGGTAAGACGGCGGCACTGAGGGTGTTTGAGCAGAGGAGGAAAATTAACCAGGCAGGATTGGCAGGGTTGGGTGGGGAAGACTATCCACTGGCCCTGGTGAGAGGGAAGAAGACTGTGGGGCCGGGGGGAACCATTGACTGTAGGGTGTGTGTGCCAACTG